GCACACATTTCCTTAATCTTTGAAGTAGGCACAATGGATTCCACAACTGGCATAGGCTTCTCAGGGTTAGCCCCAAACCCTTCAAAATCTTTCTTAATTTCCATACTAATTCTCACCCTTTTTACCACAGGGTTGGCACTAGAAGCTTTCTTGGGGCCCATGGTCACTTATTTTCCAGAAACAGCACCGAAAACACTGTAATAATACGAAATATTCCGAGTGTATGCTTGGATGTTACCGCGGAGGCTGGCTGGTAAACAATGGGACGGCCGGCACATGTGAGGGCACATTGGACGCGTCTCGGACGAAAATCGGTAAGCGGGTTTTTAATCGGTATGCGCGGCAAAAATTTTGCGATAAAAGTAATCGGTATGCGGAAAAATCGCTATGTGATGCCATCGTTATGCGGGGGTCCACTGTATTATTATTATCAGCAGTAGCAGAAATGTTCAATTCTTTGCCTTGTTCAAGAGTAAACAAATGATGTCACCATCCAATACCTGTCCGAATGGCCATTCCAATGTGCAGTCATACCTTTGATATACCTTTGAAGAAATTTGGGAGTATATCTACTCTCTGAGCCTGGCCATGATGCCAGGCTCGTCTGGTGCTTGCCTGGTCAACCAGGCTGTTGCAGCTGGATACCCGCTGCCTCACATATCCATCACAGCCTGGTTGATCTGGCACCTAGTGAAGATACTTGTCTAGTTTCCTCTTGAAGACTCCTACACTTGTTCCAGCAGTGTTTCTGATATCTTCTGGTAAGATGTTGAAAAGTCTGGGACCCCGGATGTTGATACAGTGTTCCCTTATTGTCCCCACCGCACCCCTGCTCCTCACCGGGTTTATTTTACACTTCCTCCCATATCTCTCACTCCAGTATGTTATGGCAGTGTGCAGATTTGGGACCAAGCCCTCAAGTACCTTCCAGGTATATATTATCATGTACCTCTCTCTCCTCCGCTCCAATGAGTACATGTTCAAGACTTGCAGGCGTTCCCAGTAGTTTAGGTGCTTTACTGGCTCAATGTGAGCCGTAAACGATCTCTTTATTTGTTCCAGCTCCGATATTTCTCCTGCCTTGAACGGGGCCATCAGCACTGAGCAATATTCTAAGTGAGGGAGCACTAGCAATTTGAAGAGTGTCACCATCAGCATTATTTCCCTTGTTTTGAAAGTTCTCAATACCTACCCAGTCATCTTCCTGGCTGTCGTGATCTTTGTCTTGTTATGGTCTTTAAAAGAAAGGTCTAATGACATAATTATTCCTAGGTCTTTTACGTGTTCCTTACGTTCTATTTGGTGACCCTCTTGAGTTTTGTATATAGTGCTCCTATTGAATTCATTCTTTCTATACCTAAGCAGCTGGAACTTATCACCATTGAACGTCATGTTTTCCACTGCCCACTGGAAAACCCTGTTTATGTCTTCCTGTACTTTTTCAGTGTCCTCTACCGTACTGACTTTCATGCTTATTTTAGTGTCATCTGCAAATGATGATACAAAAGTGTGCCGGGTGTTTTTGTCTGTCTGCTATGAAGATGAGGAACAGAAGAGGTGCCAGGACAGTGCCTTGGGGCACTGAGCTTTTGACCTCACTGATGCTGGATCTTGCCCTGTTCACTACTACTTTTTGTGTTCTATGTGTTAGGAAACCTAAAATCCATCTGCCTACCTTCCCCGTAATGCCCATGGCCTTCATTTTGTGCGCTATCACCCCATGATCGCATTTGTCAAACGCCTTTGCAAAATCTGTGTAAATCACATCTGCGTTTTGGTCGTCTTCCAGTGCCTCCGTAATTCTGTCATAATGGTTCAGCAGCTGTGACAGACATGATCGTCCTGCTCTAAAACCATGCTGGTTCGGGTTATGTTGGTTGTGCTGGTCCATGAAATTTGTAACCTGTCGTCTCATCACTCTTTCGAAGATTTTTATGATGCGAGAGGTTAGGGCTACTGGTCTGTAATTTTTAGCTAGTGCTGTACTTCCTCATGAATGGGTTGACATTATTTACACTGTAGTTTAATAACAAACAAAACACTCACCACACAGTCGTGGGAGGGCTGGCTACCAGTTGCGGGGGTCGGAGGGAGGGTAGTAGGGACACGCGAGTGGCAGGAAACTTAAATACGATTTGGCGACTGGGAATTTGGGGGCTGAGAATTCGCAAATGTGTGAAGCCCGTGAAAGTTGAAAATGTGAATGTTGAGGGAGACCTGTATTTCATTTTTTGGGTCACCCAGCATCAGTGGGAGATAGCAAGTGTTATTAAATTAACATAATAACAATGATTTTCAAGTTTTCTACAACACAAAATAATCCAAGGCATAGATAGACAGTGTAGACAAGTACAGTACAGTGGACCCTCGTTTTTCGTGATTAATCCGTTCCAGAGAGTCCGCTAAAAGTCAAAATTCATGAATGGCGAAACCATTTTCCCCATAAGAAATAATGGTAATACAATTAATTCATTCCAGACACCCAAAAATACTAAAAAACAAAAAAAAAATCCAAATTATATAGATTTACACACAAAACAATGAGAAATCAAGTACATATATCTATAAAATAATAATATTACACTTAACCTTTATTGAAGACTTCTGGGTGGATGGAAGACAGGAGGAGGGCAGAGGATGAAGGTACACTATTGTTTGAAAGGGGAATCCCCTTCCATAAAGACTTCAGGTACCAAGTCTTTTTCCAGGGTTACTTCCTTTCTTTGTTTTTTAATGGCACTGGAACCAGCTTGAGAGTCACTGGACCCCTGTCGCACAAAATATCTGTCCAGAGAGCTCTGTTCCTGGCATTTCTTTAACCCTTTGGGGGTCGCCAGGCCCTCTCAGAGACTTGTTCTCAGGGTCGCCAAAATTTAAAAAAAAATAAATATATATAAATGAAAAGATAGAGAATCTTTTCCCGATCATAATGACACCAAAAGTATGAAATTTGATGGAAAACTTACGGAATTATGCTCTCGTGAAGTAAGCGGTCTCGACGATGTTTACGCATTGGCGATTTTGCCCACTTTGAGCCCTATTTTCGGCCAATTTCAGTGTACTAGTCGACAAGAATCATAACTATTTCGCTAGAACTCCATTTTTTCTATCGAATGAGTACAAGAAACCACCCATTTACCGATTTCAACTATCCAATAAAGTGGTCAGAATTTAGCAATTTTTTCAATTTCACACAAATTTCAAAAGATGTCAATTTCCGAATAGGGTCCAGAATAAACAAGAAAGATATTCCTGGCACTAAAATAACAAGTTCTCTGTTCATTAGTCACATCCCCAGGCCCCTCTTATATTTCTTTGGCTTTCCACTTTGAATTTTTATTCTTACAAAAAATAGAAGATACTATACTGTTATGCAGACTACTGCATTAGTGTAGAAATGGTATAAATAATATCAGCACACTCGTGAAAGAATATTAGACTCACCAGTTGATGTGTATTGGACGCTTGGCATGATTTGTTTACTTCTGAACTTTGGTAAAAATCGAACATTTCTGCTACTTTGAGCTCAATTTAAAGGTACTTTTCATTGTAAAACCAGTCAAAATCATCTCAATTTCTGTAATATGTCTTCCATTCTATAAAATGAGTCCAAGAAAACTAGAATACAACAATAAATACCATACGAAAATACAGAGCAAAGTCGCTGTTTTAATCCAAAAACACGGTCAAAGTTTTTTTTTCTCATTACGCACTGTGAGCTGCAGGATTTTTTTATACTGCGCACACTGACCACATAGACCCATTCTTTCATATGTAGGCCTACCAGCTTTGTCTCACTAGATTTGAGGGCGCTAGAATTTAGGCATACTAGTACATCAAAAACCCTGGGGCATAAGCCGTACTAGTATGGCCGAAACCCCCAAAGGGTTAAAACATACCTAAAATGGGACACAACATTGTCATTGTACATGTTGCCAATACAGCCTGCAACAGCTTTGACAGGGTAAAGTTCATCCATAAGTGTATGCACTTTAGTCCACATTGCACAAATGTCCTTAATCACTGAAGAAGGCACTTTCCTCCATCTCTCTTCCTCCTCCTCTAAAGCGATTTCCTGAGCTGTGGTCTGCTGCTGTTGCAGATGAAGGTCTTGCAGCTCTGTAGTGGTTAGCTCTTCATCGTGGTCCTCCACCAACTCTTCCACACCCTTGAAACTCACATCCAACCCCATGGAATTCCCCAATACCACAATACTTTTCACAATTGGCATAGGCTCCTCAGGGTTAGCCCCAAACCCTTCAAAATCCCTCTCTTGTACACACTGTGGCCACAATTTTCTCCAAGCAGAGTTCAAAGTCCTGCAAGTCACTCCCTCCCAAGCCTAACCTATAAAGTTTATGCAATGGAGGATATTGAAGTGATCTTTCCAGAACACTCTTAGGATCAATTCAGTGTCTAAGGTCACTTCAAAGCACTTTTGAAACACTGCTTTGGTGTACAATTTTTTGAAGTTTGAAATGACCTGCTGGTCCATGGGCTAGAGGAGAGGAGTGGTATTAGGGGGCAAGAACTTCACTGTGATGAAACGAAACTCCTGCACCATTTGTTCTTCCAAGTCTGGAGGATGAGCAGGAGTATCATCCATTACCTGGAGGCACTTGAGTTCAAATTTATTTTCCAGGAGGTATTTCTTCACACTGGGGCCAAACACTTCATTAAACCAATCAAGGAAAATGTCCCTCATGACCCATGCCTTACTGTTAGCCTTCCACATCACACACAAATTAGCCTTGGCAACTCTGTTTTTCCTGAACACTCTGGGATTTTCAGAGTGATACACCAGTAAAGGCTTCACTTTGAAATCCAAACAAGCATTACTACAAAACATGAGAGTTAGCCTGTCTTTCACAGGCTTGCGTCCTGTCAGTGCCATTTCCTCCTGAGTGATGTAGGTCCTCTTTGGCATTTTCTTCCAAAACAGGCCTGTTTCATCACAAATGAACACTTGTTGGGGTTTGAATTGTTCAGTCTCTATGTACCTCTTGAACTCCTGAACATACTTTTCAGCCGCTTTTTTGTCAGCACTTGCAGTCTTGCCACGCCTTACCACACCGTGTATGTCACTATGCTTCTTAAATCTCTCAAACCAGCCTTTCCTGGCCATAAAATCACAAACATCAGCACTCATTGCAGGCATTTTCTTTACGAGATCGTCATGCAACTGCCTTGCCTTTTCACAAATTATCAACTGCATAACACTATCTCCTGCTAACTGTTTTTGGGTAATCCACACCAACAATAACCTCTCCACTTCAAGGATTTGCAATCTCTTTTTTCTCAGCATATCTACCCCTTTTGCAACAACAGCTACCTTGATTTCCTTTCCCTTCGCCATGATGGTTTGCCATACATCCTGGCAAGCTCTGAAACATGCACTCCACTTTCATATTTTTCAATGATTTCTTTCTTTAATTCGATCAATTTCTCACTTTCTTTACCAAAGGGCTGGCACTAGCTTTCTTTGGGCCCATGGTGACTTATTTAGCAGTTGGAAGCACAAAAAAGAATGGAATATTAAGAAATGTATTGTATGAATGCGTGGGATGATGGTCACTCGCTGATAAACAATGGTACACTGAGTGTGAATGGTGTGGGAGACTGGCTTTGTGTGCGCGCTGACACTGGATGTGTACCAGATGATCGCCAAATCACAAGGTCAATCATGAACTGCAAGGCTATATTTCACCAAAAAATGTTCCCAAAAGTCGAATTTCACGAAAGTCGCAGCCGCCGAAACAAGGGGGTTCACTGTATATACTTTTCACCAGGAATGAAACAAGAACAGGAGGATAACACTAAATTACTTTCTAAAGAGCTGTAAGGATATTGGGAAAAAATTTCAGCATTACAGGAATAAAGAAACAATTAAGACATTGGAAATAGACTCTATAAAGGGATTTAAAAATAAACAAGAGACCTATTTTAAATCAGTTGAAAACAGGAGACAGTATAAAAAACTAGTGCTTAACTCCATGCCCTGCTAATTCAAACAGATAATTAAACACATTACACAGGGTTTCCACTGGATTAGGAGAATATTTGGAGGGCTTTTTACGACAAACAGTCCAAAATGCGTTAAGGGTAAATTTGCATAACTAGTGCGATAAATTTTTCCTCACCCAGCAAATGTATAAAACAATTACAATAAATGTGAACAGAAAAAAAGAGATATAAAATAAACAAAGCCTTGATAAGTTTGATAAAAAATGACAATAAAAAACTGTGCACCAATACAAGCACAATGATAAATCCACAATAAAATGAATGGTATGTGACTCAAGAAATCGTAATGACACGATTGCAAACAAACCATACCCCCGGCCGGGATTGAACCCGCGGTCATAGAGTCTCAAAACTCCAGCCCGTCGCGTTAGCCACTAGACCAGCTAGCCACAATAAGATTCATCCAACTAGGTATATTTCTACACCATAGGAAGGTTAGCACAGGCACCACTGTGACCACAAATGCAAGTTTTTACAGACGAATCTCCAGCTAGCGTGGCCGTGACGAACTCTAGCTCAAGTCCCTTCACTGCCGTCAACATGACTCAAGAAATCGTAATGACACGATTGCAAACAAACACAAACTTGCATTTGTGGTCACAGTGGTGCCTGTGCTAACCTTCCTATGGTGTAGAAATATACCTAGTTGGATGAATCTTATTGTGGCTAGCTGGTCTAGTGGCTAACTCGACGGGCTGGAGTTTTGAGACTATGACCGCGGGTTCAATCCCGGCCGGGGGTATGGTATGAATGGTATGTGATTAAGTCTTTCTTGATCCAGCAAGCAAAGAAAGTAGGAAAGAGAACAGGATAAATGAAAACTTGTGATAAACTTGCGCTCTGATGTTTGTGCTGGGAGTGGGCTGTAGAGGCACTGAAGGGGAGGTACAAGGTGCACGAGCGAAAAAAAAAATTGAAAAATTATGGAAATTGAGTTAATCATATAGAAAAATAGCTTAACTCTTAAGGAACACTCTGGTACAAGAATCAATGTTCTACAACGTTTCTACAAGGAATTATAGTCATTTATATCAGGTATGGTAACGGCGATGTGTGTAGTGCATCTGCGCTCAGTCCATATATTTTTTGGAATTTTATCCTTGTTTTTTCTTGCTTTTTATTGCATTATTCTTTCCATTATAATAATTGACTATTTGGCATCATAAAAAAGTAGGCGGAGCTTATCTGTAGACTTCTAGCCAATCAGGAACCATCTGGGAACACTGGCAGTATTCCCGCACCAGAGAGAGGCATGAGAAATCATTTCATTATTACTCTTATATCAACTCTACGGCTTATTTATCTATCAGAATTTATCTAATATGATATAATAAACACTATAAATAACATACAAACATGTTATACACTCTAGACTGAATAAAATAGGCCATAATATGGCGAGAGTCCACCAGCAATATTCGATATAAAATTATTACTCCTCGTCTCCATGTCGTATTCTTTGGTCTTTGATTAAGAGAAAACGGTGTTTTGAAGAGGATAACTGCAGTAGAACACCAGTTTACTAAGGAAACCACCGAAAGAAATGGGATTTTCGCAAAATAAACAAAAAAAATTTCGAAACGGCGGGCCGGCCGGCGTTCCAGGCCAATATCTCGGAAGTAACTTATTCACTTATTTCACTTTCCTACGCCTTTATTACTTAAGTGGGATAATATTCACAGAAATTGTAAAATAATGATTGTTCTTATTTTTAATGATACACTTTTGGAAATATTCCAAATATTTTGGGATTTATGTGGGAGTAAAGGGCAGATTTTTTACAAAAGTGTAAGAGCTAACAAACTTTATTTTTTTTTAAATAAAGATAAGATATTTAGAGGAAAGTGCGTCATGAAAAAATCATATTAGCATTGTTCTCTCGGCACCAAGTGCCCAAACAACCTTACGTCGTCCCATATAGGACTACCATCCTGCCAAAGGACATTTTCAGTATATCTTTCTTTTTTCAGTTGTTGTTTGGTATATCTTATTGACAAATATTTTCAGTAAATAGTGTAAATACATCGTCTTGTGCACCAAAAATGAAAGAAATCCGACGGTAAAAAATTTGACAAAAAATAGTTGTTTAACTGCCCCTGAATGCCCTTCCCTACAATCCCCCACTAGGTCAACTCCCAGGTAAGATGTAGAGACATTAATGCCAGGAGTGCAGCAAATGCCAAAGAGAGATTGCTATTGACAGATTTTTCAAGTTTGGAGTCTCTGAGTGCTAAGGTCAGGCAAAAAATATACTATTGCTTAACCTGAACATTTTTTCTTTTTGAGGCAATTTTATTACAGCCATTCCATCATTTGCAGATTTTTATATTTAAATTTTTTAATCCAAATTTTTGTTACATAGCAGGTAAATAATACGAGTTTCCTTCAAATAGTTAACAACTCCACTTCACCATAAAACTATTTCTTCAAATCTATGCTTCTCTGCTAACTTTATTACAAATCTGCACTTCAAACACCTTGTAGTGATTACTTATACTTTTATCTAAGTACTGTTCACATACCTGTTTTGCATCTCACGCCGCAGCTCATCAGCGCTCAAGTTAAAGAATTCAGCTGGCAAATCGACATGTTTTGCTGCTTCAGCAGGGAGAAGAATGTTGAGATTACGATCTAGCTGAGGTCGTACAGGCTCAGCACTAACTAAAGCATCTCGTAATTGCTCCAGAGGAGTTAGATCACTAAGTTTTTCTTTAGGAAATACCTAAGGAAGAAAAACAAAATTAATACAGAAACACTCACTCATTGTAAATTATGTCATCACTATATAAGAGCTCAGTTTCTGATAATACTGCATAATATACTCTCTCCCACAATATACCAAGGCAAGTACCTACATTCTCTCCTGTTTAGAGAAAAAGTAATTTCTATCTGTTGTGGTGAAGGGGGTAAAGTAACAGATGTCTCATGGATTAAAGGAAAGAATGACAAATCTAGAACAAAATTATGCACGGCAGCAAGAACTGATAATGAAGAATTTTTAATAACTCGCCAAGAGACCATTACAAGAGCTACCCGATATTAGAAAGGAAAACATAGGACATAAAGGAGATAAAAGTTTAAAAGAAAGGATAAAAAATAATATGAAAAATGCCAAAGCAGAAGGCAAACCTAGATAAATTGGCACAGCTGGATCATATCACAGAAAATCTCAACAAAAGCTTTGAGAAAAATATAAAGGATTATAGGAATATACAGTAGGGTCCCACTTATCGGGCAGGTTAGGTTCCAGGCTACCACCAGAAAGTGGACATCGTCGGAAAGCAGAATGCCATTTTTTCCATTTATAAATGCATACAAATGCTAGATAACAAGTTTACACTAATATATATTACACTAACAGTAGAAATACGCATTAAAAACAATAAAAAGTAAAATACATACATAGTACATTCAAATGCTTGTAGTCTTAATGTAGGGTGAGGTGAGTAGTATTTATTTGTAGGAAGTCAGAGGTAGGTAGCCAGTAGGTGTAGGTAGCCAGGAAGCCCACCTGGCTCCCATTCCCAAATGTAATATACAATATTTAAAGCAACCCAGAGCGATAAAATACACATATAGTACACTCATTACTTACCTTAAAAAGTGTAGTCTTAATGTAGGGTGAGAGGTGAGTACAGGTCTCCCTCAACATTCCCAAGGGTTAGGGGATCATGAGCCTAGCGAGTGTTGAAAAATTGCGAATGTTTGGTGACCCAATATATTGTAGAGAAATATAATACAATACTGCTTCCTTAACTTGTTGAACCATGAACAATCATAAAATACATGAAAACATCGTAAAATATTGTACTATATACATACATGTTATGGTTTAATAACATGTACATTATTAATTACCAATGCCTCCACCACTGCCTCCACCACTGCCTCCACCACTGACTCAACCACTGCCTCAACCACTGCCTCAACCACTGCCTCAACCACTGCCTCAACCACTGCCTCAACCACTGCCTCAACCACTGCCTCAACCACTGCCTCGTATTTTTGTACAATTTCTTTCTTCAATTCTATCATGTTTCTCAATTTCTTTACCAAAGGACTGGCACTAGCAAGTTTCTTTGGGCCAATGGTTAATTATGTAGCAGTCGCACTCAATCTACAAGCACCAAACAAAATGAATTATTGTGAAATGTTTGGAAGAGCACGGAGGTTAATGCTCATTCCAGTATAAACAAAGCCAAACTGACTCACAACGACTCCCACCATAGTTTCAACCCTCGTATTTTTGTACAATTTCCTTCTTCAATTCTATCATATTATTATTATTAATAACTTTTTTTTTTTCAACAAACTGGCTGGCTGTATCCCACCAAGGCAGGGTGTCCCAAAAAGAAAAACGAAAGCTTCTCTTTTTAAATTTAGTAATTTATACAGGAGAAGGGGTTACTAGGCCCTTGCTCCCGGCATTTTAGTCACCTTTTACAACATGCATGGCTTACGGAGGAAGAATTCTGTTCCACTTCCTAATGAAGAGGAAATAAACAAGAACAAGAACTAGAAAGAAAATACTAGAAGAAAACCCAGAGGGGCGTGTATATATATGCTTTGCATGTATGTGTAGTGTGACCTAAGTGTAAGTAGAAGTAGCAAGACGTACCTGAAATCTTGCATGTTTATGAGACAGAAAAAAGACACCAGCAATCCTACCATCATGTAAAACAATTACAGGTTTCTGTTTTACTCTCACTTGGCAGGACGGTAGTGCAGTACCTCCCTGGGCGGGTGCTGTCTACCAAGCTACTACCTACATTATTATTATTATTAATAATATGTATGTTATTAAATACCACTGCCTCTACCACTGCCTCCACCACTGCAGTCACACTCAATCTACAAGCACCAAACACAATGAATTATTGTGAAATGTTTGGAAGAGCACAGATGCTAATCCTCACCCCAGCATAAACAAAGCCATACTGCCTCCACCACTGTTTCAACCTTCGTATTTTTGTACAATTTCCTTCTTCAATTCTATCATATTATTATTATTATTATTATTATTATTATTATTATTATTATTATTATTATTAGCAGTAGCAGAAATGTTCGATTCTTTGCCATGTTCAAAAGTAAACAAATGATGTCACTGTCCAATACCTGTCCGAATGGCCATTCCAATATGTAGTCATGAATAGGTTGACATTATTTATACTGTAGTTTAATAGCAAATAATGAACAAACAAAACACTCCCCACACTGAGTGGCGGGTGGGTTGACTACCAGTTGCGGGGCTCGGAGGGAGGGTAGTAGGGACACGCGGGTGGCGGGAAACTTAAATATGATTTGGTGACTGGGAATTTGGGGGCTAGGAATTCGCAAATTTGTGATGCCGTGAAAGTTGAAAATACGAATGTTGAGGGAGACCCGTAGTATTTATTTGTAGGAAGTCAGGTGTAGGCAGTCAGTAGGTGAAGGTAGCCAGGAAGCCCGCCTTGGTCCCATTCCCAAACATAATACAGGCTGATCATCACTAATCTGGCACCATCAGGATCTGTACGGTGCCGGATTAGTGATTCTGCTGGATTACAGAGTAGTTAGGTTAGAATATACTTAACTAAACGGGGATATTTATGCATTGGCAATTTCACCCAATTTACGCCCTATTTTTGGCCCATTCCATTGTTCCAGTCTACAAAACTTAGCTATTTTGCTAGTATTACTTCCATTCTGACAAATGAGTACAAGAAACTGCCCATTCACCTATTTCAACTACATAATAAAGTGGTCAAAAATAGCTAATTTGGCCAATTTCACACACATCAAAAGATGCCAATTTCAAAATAGGGTCCAGAATAAACAATGCAGACATTCCACTAAAATAACATTTTCTCTGGTCATTAGTCATGTTTCCAGGCCCCTCTTATATTATGCTTGTTTTCCATTTTGAATTTTTATTCACACAAAAAATAGAAGATTTACTGTTATCCCTTAAACCGTCCAAACGTAGATCTACATCCATGCACGGGGGGGGGGGGGGGGCCGAACGTAGATCTATGTTTTTTTTTTACATGCTTTCAAATGGGGAAAATCAAGGTCGGAGCACTAAGCACATGAAAGTAGATCTATGTTTGGACAGTTTAAGGGTTAAGCAGACTACTTCATTATTGTAATAATTGTATAAATAATGTGAACTCATTTGTGACTGCATATTAGACCAGCCAGTTGGACACGTATTGGACGGTGACGTCATTTGTTTACTCTTGAACATTGGCAAAAATCAAAACTTTCCACTAATCAAGCTCAATTTTAAGGTACTTTCCAGCCTGAAACAAATCAAAATTATATCTATTTTTGTAAAATATCTTCCATTCTATCAAATAAGCCCAAAAAAACAAGTCTACAACCATGTAAATCATACGAAGATACACTGCAAAGTCAGGTTTACACCACATACACAGTTGCAGGTTTTTCTCATTATGCACTGCATGCTGCAGGATTTTTTTTTATATAGTACACACTTAACCATACAGACCTATTCTCTCATATATAGGCCCAAATTTACAGGTCACAGCTTATCTGAACGAGCTGAACTCATGGCAACCGACAGTGGCTTCAAAGCCACCTTATCTTTTATGGACAATGTATAGTGTATGTGCTTTACACAACGAGAAGCATTTCTTTTATTCATTGGAACCATGGCTAGGGCTAAAAGTGAGTGGTTATAACAATAAATTGAGAAAAAGAAATTCGCATGAGTTATGCAGCAAGTAGCACCACCAAACAGTAGCAGCAGGTTGGTGTGGTGACCCCGGAAAATTGAAGTTATATTAGCCGAAAATAGTGCCACATTACTGATTGCCAGATTAGTGACGGCCAACCTGTATATGATATTTAAAGCAGCCCAGAGTGATATTATTACCATCAACATACCTTGTTCACTGAGTTTAATCATTTCTAAGAACTACCTTTAGATGCCATCATAAATGAAGGGAGAAATGGTGAGAAGTCATGCTGAGAATTGTAAAGAAAGATGAATGCATTAACCCTTTGACTGTCGCGGTCGTATATGTACGTCATAGGAGATACCGTGTTTGACGTATCTATACGCATAAATTCTAGCGGCTTCAAATCAAGCAGGAGAAAGCTGGTAGGCCCACATGTGAGAGAATGGGTCTCCATGGTCAGTGTGCACCATATAAAAAAAATCGGGGAGCCAGTGGTGCATTGTGGGAATACCATTTCAGTAGTCCTTTTTCAGCATGTCTAGCGGTAAGAAATATGTGACTTCCCTGCAAATCTGGGACTCTTCTCTTCCCAAGTGATGCTCTAACACAGATGGAAGTGTCAATGAAGATCAATTTCATGATTTCGAGGAGTTTGAGACCAAAAGCAATGGAGGAGGAGGAAGAGGAGGAGGAAGAAGAGGAGGAGGAGGAAGAGGAGGAGGAAGAAGAGGAGGAGGAAGAGGAAGGAAGGAGGGAGGAGGAGGAAGGAGGGAGGAGGAGGTAGGAGGGAGGAGGAAGAAGGAGGGAGGAGGAAGGAGGGAGGAGGAAGAAGGAGGGAGGAGGAAGGAGGGAGGAGGTGGGAGGAGGAGGAGGAGGGAGGGAGGAAGAAGGGAGGAGGTGGGAAGAGGAGGAAGGGGGAGGAGGAGGAGGAGGAGGAAGGTGGAAGGAGGAGGAAGAAAAGAAGAAGAATAAGAAGAAGAATAAGAATAAGAATAATAATAATACCTAATACATAATAATATAATATGTAATAATA